TGAAGGGGCTACACAGGGGTCCCCTGGGCTCCTGAGGGGCTACACACGGGGTCCCCTGGGCTCCTGAGGGGTACACAGGGGTCCCCTAGGCTCCTGAGGGGCTACACAGGGGTCCCCTGGGCTCCTGAGGGGCTACACAGGGGTCCCCTGGGCTCCTGAGGGGGCTACACAGGGGTCCCCTGGGCTCCTGAGGGCTACACAGGGGTCCCCTGGGCTCCTGAGGGCTACACAGGGGTCCCCTGGGCTCCTGACGGGCTACACAGGGGTCCCCTGGGCTCCTGAGGGGCTACACAGGGGGTCCCCTGGGCTCCTGAAGGGGCTACACAGGGGTCCCCTGGGCTCCTGAGGGGGCTACACAGGGGTCCCCTGGGCTCCTGAGGGGCTACACAGGGGTCCCCTAGGTTCCTGAGGGACTACACAGAGGTCCCTTGGACTCCTGACAGGGGGGCTACACAGGGGTCCCCTGGGCTCCTGAGGGGCTACACAGGGGTCTCCTGGGCTCCTGAGGGGCTACACAGGGGTCTCCTGGGCTCCTGAGGGCTACACAGGGGTCCCCTGGGCTCCTGACGGGCTACACAGGGGTCCCCTGGGCTCCTGAGGGGGCTACACATGGGTCCCCTGGGCTCCTGAGGGTTACACAGGGGTCCCCTGGGCTCCTGAGGGGCTACACAGGGGTCCCCTGGGCTCCTGAGGGCTTCACAGGGGTCCCCTGGGCTCCTGAGGGGGCTACACATGGGTCCCCTGGGCTCCTGAGGGCTACACAGGGGTCCCCTGGGCTCCTGAGGGGCTACACAGGGGTCCCCTGGGCTCCTGAGGGCTACACAGGGGTCCCCTGGGCTCCTGATGGGGCTACACAGGGGTCCCCTGGGCTCCTGAGGGGGCTACACAGGGGGTCCCCTGGGCTCCTGAGGGGCTACACAGGGGTCCCCTGGGCTCCTGAGGGCTTCACAGGGGTCCCCTGGGCTCCTGAGGGGCTACACAGGGGTCCCCTGGGCTCCTGAGGGATACACAGGGGTCCCCTGGACTCCTGAGGGGCTATACAGGGGTCTCCTGGGCTCCTGAGGGGCTACACAGGGGGTCCCCTGGGCTCCTGAAGGGGCTACACAGGGGTCCCTTGGGCTCCTGAGGGGTTACACACGGGGTCCCCTGGGTCCTGAGGGGCTACACAGGGGTCCCCTGGGCTCCTGAGGGGCTACACAGGGGTCCCCTGGGCTCCTGAGGGGCTACACACGGGGTCCCCTGGGCTCCTGAGGGGGCTACACAGGGGTCCCCTGGGCTCCTGAGGGCTACACAGGGGTCCCCTGGGCTCCTGAGGGCTACACAGGGGTCCCCTGGGCTCCTGACGGGCTACACAGGGGTCCCCTGGGCTCCCGAGGGGCTACACAGGGGGTCCCCTGGGCTCCTGAAGGGGCTACACAGGGGTCCCCTGGGCTCCTGAGGGGGCTACACAGGGGTCCCCTGGGCTCCTGAGGGGCTACACAGGGGTCCCCTAGGTTCCTGAGGGTCTACACAGGGGTCCCCTGGACTCCTGACAGGGGGGCTACACAGGGGTCCCCTAGGCTCCTGAGGGGCTACACAGGGGTCTCCTGGGCTCCTGAGGGGCTACACAGGGGTCTCCTGGGCTCCTGAGGGCTACACAGGGGTCCCCTGGGCTCCTGACGGGCTACACAGGGGTCCCCTGGGCTCCTGACGGGCTACACAGGGGTCCCCTGGGCTCCTGACGGGCTACACAGGGGGGTCCCCTGGGCTCCTGAGGGGCTACACAGGGGGTCCCCTGGGCTCCTGAGGGCTAAACAGGGGTCCCCTGGGCTCCTGACAGGGGGGCTACACAGGGGTCCCCTGGGCTCCTGAGGGCTACACAGGGGTCCCCTGGGCTCCTGAGGGCTACACAGGGGTCCCCTGGGCTCCTGACGGGCTACACAGGGGTCCCTTGGGCTCCTGAGGGGCTACACAGGGGGTCCCCTGGGCTCCTGAAGGGGGCTACACAGGGGTCCCCTGGGCTCCTGAGGGGGCTACACAGGGGTCCCCTGAGCTCCTGAGGGGCTACACAGGGGTCCCCTAGGCTCCTGAGGGGCTACACAGGGGTCCCCTGGGCTCCTGAAGGGCTACACAGGGGGTCCCCTGGGCTCCTGAAGGGGCTACACAGGGGTCCCCTGGCCTCCTGAGGGGCTACACAGGGGTCCCCTGGGCTCCTGAGGGCTACACAGGGGTCCCCTGGGCTCCTGAGGAAGGCTACACAGGGGTCCCTGGGCTCCTGAGGGGGGCTACACTGGGGTCCCCTGAGATCCTGAGGGCTACACAGGGGGTCCCCTGGCCTCCTGAGGGGCTACACAGGGGGTCCCCTGGGCTCCTGAGGGGCTACACAGGGGTCCCCTGGGCTCCTGAGGGGGCTACACAGGGGTCCTCTGGGCTTCTGAGGGGCTACACAGGGGTCCTCTGGGCTCCTGAGGGGCTACACATGGGTCCCCTGGGCTCCTGAGGGGCTACACAGGGGTCCCCTGGGCTCCTGAGGGGCTACACAGGGGTCCGCTGGGCTCCTGAGGGCTACACAGGGGTCCCCTGGGCTCCTGAGGGGGGGCTACACAGGGGTCCCCTGGGCTCCTGAGGGGCTACACAGGGGTCCCCTGGGCTCCTGAGGGGCTACACAGGGGTCCCCTGGGCTCCTGAGGGGCTGCACAGGGGTCCCCTGGGCTCCTGAGGGGCTGCACAGGGGGTCCCCTGGGCTCCTGAGGGGGCTACACACGGGTCCCCTGGGCTCCTGAGGGCTACACAGGTGTCTCCTGGGCCCCTCAGGGGCTACACAGGGGTCCCCTGGGCTCCTGAGGGGGGGCTACACAGGGGTCCCCTGGGCTCCTGAGGGCTACACAGGGGTCCCCTGGGCTCCTGAGGGCTACACAGGGGTCCCCTGGGCTCCTGAGGGCTACACAGGGATCCCCTGGGCTCCTGAGGGGCTACACAGGGGTCCCCTGGGCTCCTGAGGGGCTACACAGGGGGTCCCCTGGGCTCCTGAGGGGCTACACAGGGGTCCCCTGGGCTCCTGAGGGGGGAGGGCTACACATGGGTCCCCTGGGCTCCTGAGGGCTACATAGGGGTCCCCTGGGCTCCTGAGGGGTACACAGGGATCCCCTGGGCTCCTGAGGGGTACACAGGGATCCCCTGGGCTCCTGAGGGCTACACAGGGGTCTCCTGGGCTCCTGAGGGGCTACACAGGGGTCCCCTGCGCTCCTGAGGGAGCTACACAGGGGTCCCCTGGGCTCCTGAGGGGCTACACAGGGGTCCCCTAGGCTCCTGAGGGGCTACACAGGGGTCCCCTGGGCTCCTGATGGGCTACTCAGGGGGGTCCCCTGGGCTCCTGAAGGGGCTACAAAGGGGTCCCCTGGGCTCCTGAGGGGCTACACAGGGGTCCCCTGGGCTCCTAAGGGGGGCTACACAGGGTTCCCCTGGGCTCCTGAGGGCTACACAGGGGTCCCCTGGGCTCCTGAGGGCTACACAGGGGTCCCCTAGGCTCCTGAGGGGCTACACAGGGGGTCCCCTGGGGTCCTGAGGGGCTACACAGGGGTCCCCTGGGCTCCTGAGGGGGCTACACAAGGGTCCCCTAGGCTCCTGAGGGGCTACACATGGGTCCCCTGGGCTCCTGAGGGCTACACAGGGGTCCCATGGGCTCCTGAGGGGCTACACAGGGGGTCCCCTGGGGCTCATGAGGGCCTACACAGGGGGTCCCCTGGGGCTCCTGAGGGGCTACAAAGGGGTCCCCTGGGCTCCTGAGGGCCTACACAGGGGGTCCCCTGGGGCTCCTGAGGGCCTACACAGGGGTCCCCTGGGCTCCTGAGGGGCTACACAGGGGTCCCCTGGGCTCCTGAGGGGCTACACAGGGGTCCCCTGGGTTCCTGAGGGGCTACACAGGGGGTTCCCTGGGCTCCTGAGGGGTGCTACACAGGGGTTCCCTGGGCTCCTGTGGGGCTACACAGGGGTCCCCTGGGCTCCTGAGGGGGCTACACAGGGGTCCCCTGGGCTTCTGAGGGGCTACACAGGGGGTCCTCTGGGCTCCTGAGGGGGCTACACAAGGGTCCCCTGGGCTCCTGAGGGCTACACAGGGGGTCCCCTGGGCTCCTGAGGGTCCCCTGGGCTCCTGAGGGCTACACAGGGGGTCCCCTGGGCTCCTGAGGGGCTACACAGGGGTCCCCTGGGCTCCTGAGGGCTACACAGGGGTCCCCTGGGCTCCTGAGGGGCTACACACGGGTTCCCTGGGCTCCTGAGGTGCTACACAGGGGTCCCCTGGGCTCCTGAGGGCTACACAGGGGTCCCCTGGGCTCCTGAGGGGGGCTACACAGGGGTCCCCTGGGCTCCTGAGGGGGCTACACAGGGGGTTCCCTGGGCTCTTGAGGGGGCTTCACAGGGGTCCCCTGGGCTCCTGAGGGGGCAACACAGGGGTCCCCTGGGCTCCTGAGGGGGCTACACAGGGGTCCCCTGGGCTACTGAGGGGGCTACACAGGGTTCCCCTGGGCTCCTGAGGGGGCTACACAGGGGTCCCCTGGGCTCCTGAGGGGGCTACACAGAGGTCCCCTGGTCTCCTGAGGGGCTACACGGGTCCCCTGGGCTCCTGAGGGGCTACACAGGGGACCCCTGGGCCCTTTAGGAGCTCGGGGGGGGGGGACCCCTCAGGTTGCTTGTTGGTTGCTTGTGTGTACATAAATGTGTACGTGGCTGTAACAATTGGTTGATATATTAGTTGCTTTAAAACTGTATGTATGGTGTAGTTGACCCTTAGTGTGACCAATCCTCAAGTCACCAGGTTACATACAAAGGCCTCTTTTGAAGGGTCAAGATTTTTGTCAGTAAAATTTAAATAGGCACCTAGGCTTACATGATTGGTTCATAAATTGAATTGTTTTTGCATTTGTTATAAGTTGTGCATTGTTATATACTATAAAGTGATGATTAGGTTTAGCTTGTCACATAATTGAAGTGAAAATAGTTAATGTGTATTTTTTCCTTTCCAGAGTATTTTCATATCTGGATGTTGTCTCTCTTTGCCGATGTGCACAAGTATCTCATTATTGGCATGTGTTGGCTCTAGACGGCTCAAACTGGCAACGTATTGATCTCTTCAACTTTCAGACAGATATCGAGGTGAGGATCTAGTAAGGATTTTATATTGAGTTACATTATAAAATTATCGATGCAATAAACCAAAAATCTGTTTCAGTGTGTTCAGTAGGTCCGGACACGCTCACCTCTGCCACCCCATGGGGTAGCAGATGCCACAAATATAATTTTTTATAATTATTTCAATATCTCTCATTCATTTCTTCGCTGGATTTTTGCTGTAATATTATTCAAAAGTGTGTAATTTGTGGAATCTATATACCGGATAGTTAAATGTGTAGAATATCGCTATGCTAAAAATTATGAAGCCCATAGAAGGTGACACGTCTTATTATATTCTAAGATCAATCAGAGTTTTTGCTCTTATTACACTATATACACATGTTATATATAACTATCTACATGTTTGTGCACCATAATGAACCACAAAGATCGTGTGTTGAGAGTTTATATACTGTACACAGAACAAGAATCCAAGGTCAGTCTAGTGCCCGACGGCTGAGTGTGGCAGGGGCTGCCTCAAATACATTTTTACATAATTATTTCAGTGTCTGTGAATGGTTTTATATTTAGTTTCCGGGGAAGGGGAGCCCTTTCGGCTCCCCAGAGCTATCCAGGCCAATATGTTCTGTATCCTGATAGGTACCCTGTTTAGTTAGGGTGTTGACGTACTGTGTTCGGTGGTACCCCTTGCTTTGCCCCCTGTGAGTGGATACGTCCCTGGAGGTTCAGCTTTAGCAGTTTGTTTGGTAGACTTGGGCGCCGGTTAGCAGTACCCCGGCTGGGCTTACCCTTAGCGATACCAGTCTACAAGCCCTGGGAATCCCTGTGGAGGTGCACGGGTTCAATGGATGCGACCCCTTGGTCTCCTCTCACATTGTGCGAGTTCTTGCTTCCAAGATTGTGTTAATTCTTGCTTCCTCTTCTTGTTCCTGTCAAAGGGCACTAGCTGTAAGCTGGAATCCTAATATATGACAGCTATATCAGATGAAACATTTATATTATATAAGATAAGGACCAAGGCTTAATTACCTGTATTTAGACATTGTTTCTTGTGCTAACCAGTTCACCCTATATCTACCTAACATTAACTGGCCAGAAATGATTAGATAAATGGGTTTCGGTAAGACACTTCCCTTGTTTATGTTGACTGCGTGTTGATGATGGAAGAAGCACTAATTTGATCTCCATAACACTTCGTCCAAGAGAAATTATAGGAGCTGAACTCGCTCCACAGCGACTTGGTCTTAACAATGGCTGACCTCCCTCACCACTGATGCTCCTGGCTCTCTTTATCCAGATGTCAATAAGTGATAGAAGGGTCACATTTACTCTATTATGATACTGATAATTAAGTTTTTTGATACTGATAAGTAAATTCAAATGAGATGTTTTATGGTGTCATAAGTCCAAAAACTACTGTATTTAAGAATAATTCCCAACAGAATAGCTGGGGAATTTATAGCACTATGTGGCAATAATATCCCATTTTCTATTGATGGAAAATTCCACTACAAGCTACATTTTCTATGGGTTAACTTGTATATACAACAGCAGCAATATTATCTGCCTACTGTATTTAATATTAGTAATGGTGTCGGGTTTTCCGACAGATGCCCCGAGACTGCCCCACTTTGCTCATTAGGGACCGGACTTAGGGGTGTTGGTTGCTTCGACCTTGGTTCAGTTCGCACCCCCTCGTTCTTCACCTGCTGTGGTTCATTCTGTCCCCTCCCCCCTAATTCCGGCTCCGAAGCGTCTGAGTGCTTCGGAGTCGGGGCGGGGTCTAGAGGTTTCTGAGACTCGGGCGGTTTTGGGGCTTGCCCCTTCCGGGGAGGCGATGGAGGCATTCGAGACCCTTCCTCCAGCCGTAGCATTGGGGTCTGACCAATGGCCAGACTTGTCATCCACTAAATGACAGGAGACCCAGACAAGAGTTTGACAGAAACAACATGGCAACCATTAATATAATAGAGAGAGCAGCTTCAGTTGCCTGCAGGAATGGATCCAGACTCTTAATTATGGGCAATTTCAACCATGGAAAGATAGACTGGGTGAATGGGGACCCACATGGAGGTGAAGATACGTGGAGAGCTAAACTCCTGGAAGTGACAGCAAGGAACTTTCTGAGCCAACATGTCAAGGGACCCACAAGAATGAGAGGGAATGACGAACCAGCTAGACTCCACCTGATATTCACGTTGAATGATTCAGAAATAAGGGAAGTCAAATTTGAAATCCCCATAGGAATGAGTGATCATAGTGTATTGACATTTGAGTATCTGGTAGAGGTAGGGATAACTTATCCAAGGATGGGATTAGAAGAAAATAGACTAAATTACCGAAGAGGAAAATATGACGAGATGAGGAACTTTCTAATAGGAATACTATGGGAAACAGAACTCGGAGAAAAAAAAGACTGTACAAGATATGATGGATTATGTCACCCAGAAGTTCCAGGAAGCTGCAGACCGGTTTATCCCAGACAAAAAGAGAATAGTGAAAAACAACAGAAGAATCTATGGTTCACTTAGGAATGTGCGGCAGCAAAGCAATTGAGTAAAAGAACATAAAGAAACTACAGAAACAACAGGACACCGGAGAGCAGGGAGAGATACCAGAGGGCCAGAAATAAGTACCTCAGAGTGAGGAAAGAAGCAGAGAGACAGTCTGAAAATGACATCGCAAGTAAAGCAAGTAAGTAAACCCAACCAAAACTGCTCCACAGCCACATCAAGAGGAAAACAGCAGTGAAGGAACAAGTGATGAAACTGAGAAAAGGGGAGAACAGATAGACAGAGAATGACAAGGAGGTGTGTGAAGAACTCAACAAGAGATTCCATGAGGTCTTCACAATAGAACAAAGAGAGGTCCCTGCACTAAATGAGGAGGCAAACCAAGCAACCTTCTAGGAATTTAACCTCACCAGTGAGGAGGTCAAAAGGAATCTGTTGGAGCTGAATGTGACAAAGTCTGTTGGGCCTCACAGAATCTCACCTTGGATATTGAAAGAAGGTGTAGAGGCACCAAGTGTGCCACACTCTATGGTGTATAACAGGTCACTGGAATCGGGAGACCTACCGGAAAGCTGGAAGACAGCTAATGTAGTCCCAATATACAAAAAGGGTGACAGGCAAGAGGCACTGAACTACAGGCCAGTTCCCTAACTTGTATACCAAGGAGAAGATCGTAATTAGAAGAAGAGGAGGTAAATAACTCTGTAACATAACACCAGCATGGATTCAGAGATAGTAAATCGTGCCTCACAGGTCTAATGGAATTCTATGACCAAGCAACACAAATTAGGCAAGAAGGAGAATGGTAGGCAGACTGCATTTTCTTGGACTGTCAGAAAGCCTTTGACACAGTACCTCACAAATGGCTGTTACAAAAGTTGGAGCAACAGGCAGGAGTAAAAGGTAAGGTGCTCCAGTTGATAAGGGAATATCTAAGCAACAGGAAACAGCAAGTAACTGTGAGGGGGGAGGCATCAGAGTGGCGAGATGTTACCAGCGGGGTTCTACAGGGCTCTGTACTTAGACCCATCCTGTTTCTAATATATGTAAATGAGCTTCCGGAGGGTAGAGACTCATTCCTCTCAATGTTTGCTGATCAAAAATTATGAGAAGAATAAAAATAGATGAAGATAGACAGAGACTACAGAATGACCTGGACAAACTGGTGGAATGATCTAGAAAATGGCTACTAAAGTTCAACTCAGGAAAGTGTAAAGTAATGAAATTTGGCGAAGGGAACAGAAGGCTGAATACAATGTACCATCTGGGAGGTGATATCCTCAAATAGGGAGAGAGATCTGAGGGTTGATATCACACAACCTGTTCCCAGAGGCCCACATCAAGAGGATATCATCAGCAGCATGTGCTAGACTGGCCAAAATAAGAACTGCCTTTAGAAACTTGTGTAAGGATTTGTTCAGGACCCTGTATACAACTTATGTCAGACCAATCCTTGAGTATGCAGCTTCAGCCTGGAGTCCATACCTAGTTAAACACAAGACAAAGTTAGAGAAGATTCAGAGGTATGCCACCAGACTGGTTCCAGAACTGAGAGGTATGAGCCACGAGGAAAGGCTAAAGGAGCTGAACTTCACGTCCCTGGAAAACAGAAGAGTAGTGGTTAGACATGATAACCACCTACAAAATTCTCAGGGGGAATTGACAAGGTGAACAAAGACAAACTCTTTAGCATGGGTGGAACACGAACAAGGAGACACGGGTGGAAACTTAGTACCCAAATGAGCCACAGAGACATTAGAAAGAATTTTTCAGTGTCAGAGTAGTTAACAAATGGAATGCATTAAGTAGTGATGTGGTGGAGGCGGACTCCATACACAGTTTCAAATATAGATTTGATAGAGCCTAATAGGCTCAGGAATCTGTACACTGGTTGATTGACAGTTGAGAGGCGGGACCAGAGAGCCAGAGCTCGACCCCCGCAAGCACAACGAGGTGAGTTCAACTAGGTGAGTAGTGAGCCTCGTCTCTTCCCGCTTTTCCGGCTGCCCCGGTTTTTTCTTGTGAGATTGGGCCAACTGGGCTCCCAGTCGGTCCACGTGTCTGCTCGCCAAGGGTTTAGTTCTTTCCCTGCTTGCCAGGTTCGGGTTCCTGGTGAACTGGAGGAAGTCCCATCTAGTTCCCTCCCAGGTTTGGACCTGGCTGAGTCTTGTGTGGGACTCACGGACTGCTTCCTTGTCTCTCCCTCCAGAGTTTCTCCTTCGGCTGTGGTCCTGCATGTGCCAGTTTCTGGGAGGCTCCTGGGTCACCCGGCGGTTGCTCGGTTTGTGTGGGTGCCTAAATTTTGCGTGATGGTCTACCCACTGGGTCGGGTTTATCTTTGTCGGCTGATCTGGTTCCTTCGGGGACGTCCCTTCCACCTCTCCTGAGATTGCTGGGTTCGACCCCCCAGGGACCTTGCGCCGGCTGCTGTGTCGCCGGCTTCATCTTCAGGTTTTTCGAGGATTCAGTGTCTTGGCGCGCACCCGAGCCCTTGCTTGATGTGTTCAC